TTAAAATAAGAATTGGATCATCACAGAAAAGCTACTTCTTTGTCACTGCACCTCAGTGCCCTCTAGAAAAATAATTAAAGTTTGTCATTTACTACTAAATGGGAGTCCTGGCAAGCCAAGTTATGCTGTAGAAATTTAGAGTATGCTTAAACATGTGACTACTCATATTTTCTATTCTTTGTCTTACAAGTATTGAAAAGCCGGTGAGGACAGGGTGTGATTTTAATATGGAGGTGGCCTTTAGACTCTCAGAGAGAGGAACTGGGAAGTGGCTATTTGTGACGTATTTATCTGTCTGATTAATTTGTATTCTCTAAGCCCTCCAAATATTGATGTGGTAATTTTTTTCTTATTCATTGTTGAGTGATCTTAAAGACCATTATAGGATTAGTAATTTAATTTTTAAAATGGGTTTTCAGGTCGTAAAGTCATCACAGTTAATTTTATGGGCAATGACTCTTAATATTTATAAATCTTCTGAGTCTTTTAATATGTTTCTGATTTTAATCTTGAGAAATCTCACTGAGTAATATAGCTAAGATGGCTTTCTAAAATATGTTGAAAATAGTTGGTATTTATCAACTGTAGACACAAAGTTTTGTTTAAGTTTGCATTGAATTTGAGGAGAGGTTGGAGTAGCTTCAGTGGCATAGTGGCCCTTCCTGTACATCCTCTTATAGTTTCTGGAATCATTGTGGAATTTGCTAGTGAGGTACAAGACTGCACAATGGTGTGGTATGTATGCATCCTAGTCTTAGTGAGATGATTTAGTCCATTATTACTTATTCTGACAATTAACAGTTTGTTGATATAGTCTATTAAAGGTGACATACCATTATCAGAAAAAGACAATGTCTACTGATATGTCTACAGCTTCCTTCAGTAATGTAAATTTAAGATAAATTGAAACTTTTTGCCCTGTAATGAAAGGTTGCTTTCTGAACCTCATTTTCTTTGTCTGAAAAATAGGGGTTTGGTGGTAGGGGATGGGGGCCAGTAAGATGATTTCTAGGTTCTTTCCAATTCTAAAATGATGTATAACTGTGATCATGTCTTGCTTTTTAAAAAAAATATATTTAGTATATACTTACATATGTACTTGTTCTTAGAGTAAGAATTGTTTCATCCTTTGAATTTGTTATCTCTAACACCTAGCATGATGCCTGGCATATAGAAAGTGCTTAATAAAAGCTTATTGATTGATTGTTTAGTGTAAGTTGAGTGAAAATGTATTCCAAATCCTCAGGATTCCAATCAGAATTTTTCTGATATAATTTTTAGAGAAAAATAGCATCTTATCTGACATGTTTTATTGTTTTTTACTGAGTATTTTAATGTGAATATTTATGATTAATCTTTAGTAATTCAAATTCCAAGGTAATTATAAAAAATATTGTCTGCGATTCAAGTCCTTAAAAGTCTCAGTGGATAACAAATAAGCCCAGCAATTGTTCAGCATAAACAGTCAATTCTTTCTGCTTTTTTCCTTTGACACATTATTCTGGAATGCTTTCTGACATGACTCATGCCTGATGCATCAACTAGGCTTCAGAGCTTGTACATAGATATTAACTTTTATTATGTTTCCCCCCCCTATTTCTGGACGCATTCTAAAGTGAGAAAAGGTGGACCAAATTTATAGACAAGTGGTGCTCCTTGGTTTAGGGGGTTAAAGTTGGTGACCATCATTTTCAGAAGTTGAGTTCAATTTACAAATGTATTATTGGAATTGGTAGAATACTAGGAGTATGAATGTGGGAGGAAAACCTGCTGATACTGTTGTTGCTCATGCTCATGTCTCTGGTTTTGGATTCTGCTTGCATTTTTCATGCCGCTTAAAAATGAAAATGTTTAAGCTTTCCTTTTTTTTGCCTTCTCTTACAATCCTGTTTTGCTATAGTTTTTGAAATAGCTTAATTCCATGTGACAATGAGATTTTGTGTAATCATACCTAATATCTAAATGTAACCTCCAATAGTCTTCAAAATGTACAATATAAATTGCAAGCACTGTGTGAAAACTGTAATGAGGCAAGCATTTATCAAGTGCTTATTAACGTGCTTAATGTCAGGCATTATGCTAAGCAGTGAGGATATACAAGGTAAAGCAAAAATAATCCTGGGTACCATAGAAGATGTATTCAGAATAAATGGAAAGTAATCTCATAAGGGAGGAAGGAAGGAAAGGGAATAGGCATTTATAAGTCACCTCCTTTGTGCCAGGTTCTGTGTTAAGCAATTTACAAGTATTATTTCATTTAATCTTCACAACGATCCTGTCAGTGCTATCATTACTCCCATTTTACACTTGAAAAAAACTGAGGTAAACAGAAGTTAAATGACTTGTTCGGGGTCATGCAGATTTGAACTCTGGTCTTCCTGACTCCAGGGCCTAGAGTTCTGTCCGCTGCACCACCTAAGGCACTAGCAATCGGGGTAAACAGGGAAAAGCTTCTTGCAAAAGGTGGAATTTGAACTGAATCTTGAAGCCAGGGAAGCTAAGAAGTGTGGTTGAAGGCATGGAGTGGAGCAACAAGTGAAACAATATAATTTGGATTGTGGCTTCTGAGTGACAGTGACAATGGTTGTGTCCTTGACAGTAAAGAAAGACAGAAGGTTTAGATGATTAGCTGAATTTGGAGAAATTTATATGCTCCTTTATCTGTAAAATGTGGCTAATGATAAACTGTCTTAGAGTTGTGAAGAGAGTGTTTTGTAAATCTTAGAGTACTAGTAAAAAGATAATTAATGTTATTATGTGTGATTTATTCAGCTGTCAGAGCTGATGTTTTGTATGAGTTATATGTTCTTTTAAAAATAACAGTGATTTCTCAAATGGGGTGGTATCAGTAGCTCAATGAGTGAAATCCTTAGGCTAGTCTAAAGAGTTCTTGTGTTTGGCACTTAACTGTTTTTTTTTAACTTGGACAAATCACTTAATTTCTCAGAGCCTCAGTTTCCTCATCTGTTAAAAAATAAGGATAATAATAATACACTATTTGCCTCAGGATTGTTGTGAGGAAAGCACTCTGTAAGCTTTAAAGCTACAGAAGTATGAGTTGTTATTTGTTATTAAGGAACATAATGCTGTTCTGTGTCAATCTCCCATCCGTGTTGGCTCTTTTTCTTTCTGAATTCTCAGTGCATTAGAGACATGTTAGAGCACATGTAGATACCATTTCAGAAAAGAAAATTTTTATTAATGTTTATGTTGTTTTTCCCCCTGATCATATTCTTTCTGAGTATCTCCACCCTAACTCCAGAACTGAACCTTTCCCTTGTAACAACAAAACAAAATCAAATAGAAATAACCAGTTGAGTGACAATGTAGGCAACATTCTGCCCTTATAGTCTTCCACATCTGCTCAGAGGAGGTAAATAATGTTGCATTATTTGTTTTCTGGGACCAAGATAGTTTATTACAGTCATTCAGAGTTTGACTTCCTTTTTCTTTACCTTCTTCTCATTTACATTACATTTACATTATTACCTTCTTTTCATTACTATTACATGGTAGTTCTAATGGTTATGCTTATTTTGCTCCTAAATTTTTGCATCATTTTGCAAATCTTCCAATTTTTTAAATTCCCCATATTTGTTCTCTTTACCGCACAGTAATATTATAATACATGAGAGTATCCCACTTAATCTATTTCCAGTTTTTTGCTAGCCCTAGATAGTATCGTTAGGAATATTTTGATATATGTTGCATTTTTGTCTCTGTTATTGACATCTTGGGGGTAAATATCTTTATTCTTAGAAATGTTTCAAATAGCTTAGCTGAGGGTGGGGAACCTGTGGCCTCGAGGCCACACGTGGCCGTCTAGGTCCTCAAGTGCAACCCTTTGACTGAATCCAAACTTCACAGAAACCCCACTGATAAAAGGATTTGTTGTGAGAAGTTTGGATTTAGTCAAAGGGCTGCACTTAAGGACGCAGAGGACTACGTTTGGCCTTGAAGTTGCAAGTTCCCCACCCCTGGCCCAGACCATGAAGCAAATCAAGATGTTTAACTTTTGTGTCACATTATTAGCTTTCCATACAAATACTATCACTATCATGTTTTCACTGTTGCGTATGTCTTTTTGACCCCGTTAGGGGTAGACTTGATAATGAAATTAGAAAGTTGGATAAGAAGGGACTGTGGTTTAATTAACATAAATATACCGAATCTCACTGGTTTGTTTCCCTTTTCTAATACTATAGTTTTTATTTTTTGTTAAGGTTGAGAGTTGATTGAATTGATCAGGGAGTTCCTAACTTGGAGTTTGTGAATTTGCTTTTTAAAAACATTTCAACTGTATTTCAATACATTTGGTTTGTTTTGTATTATATTTTATGCAATTAAAAATATTTTTCCAGTGAACCATGAACCCCAATTTGTAACAGAGTCTGCTTTAAGGAAGAGAGCAATGAAATTAGGGTACATGTATCCATGGTTTAATTTCTCTCAGGCTGGTTTGACATGCATTGCATGGGAGTTCAGTCCAAAACTGGGCCCCCCCAATGAGGCCTGTTCAGAACTGGCTTGGATTGGAATTTTGGGGTACAGCTTTATATGCCCTTCAAAGAGTAACTGTTCCCTAGGGGTACCAATCAACTGTGATTGGTCAACACACTAGGAGGTGGCTTATATTAAAATGAGGTTCACAGGGGCCAATATCACCCACCATCGAAGAAAAATACCACTCTCCCATCTTGGGAGTCTCTCTCCACCCAAACTCTGAGTAGGATAAAGTCAATTCAGGCCTGGATTATAGTTTGACCAAGATAAGAAGATTCAATGCAATCTCATTATCAGAGATGTCCTTCTGAAGAACTTTGGTCAGAAGGCTGCAAGGGGGGAGCTCTGAGTCTCCAAGCCACAAGATTACCAAGAGAAATCATTTTTAACATTCCAAATAAGAGTCAAAAAGCTTTACCAGACTGCCAAAGAATTGCATGACACGAAAGTGGTTAAGTTAAACATTTCTGTTCTGTACTCTGATGCCTTTGCCTTAGGAATCCTAGCAGTTTCACCAGAAGAGCAGTGGCTGAATTGAGAGCTGAAAACAAACTAGACACACTAAAGGAAGGCAGTTTCAAGACTCTACAGTGAACCTAACAGAAAATTGTACCACACCTAAGAGATTCTACATAAGGCTTCCCTGAAGGGTCTTCCAGCAACCAGAAGCTGTAATTTAACTCTTTGCCGTGTGCGTTTTCTAAACTTGAGCCCACTTTTCTCTGAACTCTGTATATTTTTCTGATAAAGTGTGCCCCAGACTTGAATGGAATGTTTTGTGCAAATTGTTCTTCTATCACCTTAGTAAATGCTCATTTCCAAAAGCAATTTGTCTGGCTTACTAATTTGTATCAACTGTTAGTGGAAAAGAACACTGATGGGGGCTTATGAACAACAGCTTTACCCTTAGCCCTTCAGTTTTACCACTAAAACACTGAGAGGAGAAGTAACTAGCTATCTTATAGGATTTGAGGGAATGAGTCTAGAGCCTGTGCTTCATTTTTGCAGAATTTTAAGGTGGAAGGAAATCATCTAGACTAGAATTTCAGTGTCACAGAGGAGACAGAGCTTTGACCTTGGAATCAAAATGACGTGGGTTGAAATTTTGCCCCTGACATTTACTAGCTGTGTGACCATTTTGTCTAGTCACCTAACCTCTCTGTTTCTATTTTATCATGAAAGAAGGTTGACCTTACAGGCCTGTTGTGAAGATCCAGTGAGGTAATTAATATAAAGTGCTTTGCAAACTTTAAAGTTCTATATTAATGTCAGCTGTTATAAGAAGAATGAATTGAAACCCAGAGTAGTTAAGTGCCTAGTTTAAATCTTTTCTGGCAGAACTAATACTACAGCTCACTCTCAGCCTTCTGTAATTTTCATTATATAAAATTATGATCATAGAAATATATTATTCATTATAGAAAACTATGGTGCCAGATACCTTCAAATTAGTCAGTCTGCCACTGGGACTCTGTAATACTCTTTTAATCATTCTAGGCTAGGCTTTTCATGGCTAGTGCTGTTATTTCAAGTTTTAATCCTGGATGTTTTATTTTTCACAAAGTCAGATTCTGACAGCATAACATAAGAGGCATCAGCCAAGAAAGCCTAGACTACTCTTGTTCTTTAGAGGACTTGGGATACCAAGGCAGATCTACCTTAGTAGGGCTCCTTATCTTTGGTCATTGTATTCTAGGCAATATAGTACTCTTTTTAGTTGTTATATTCTCCCCAATACTCTTGTCCCCCTTTTTACCTATTCAAATCCCACTTTCCCTTCAAGACTCAGTTCAAATACCACCTTTTCTATGAACTCTTCACTGATCACCCCTATCACAAATGAACTGTCCTGATGCTAAATAATGTTTTGTATATCTCCTGATTTCATTATATGTGATTCTGAATTATAGTAATTGTATAATTTTGTGTAGTATTGCATATTTGTATATGTGTGATATCTTTCTTGTTAGCTAGTACCTTTATGCAGGGACCATGTCTTAATTATCATTGTAATACACTAATACGATATTTAGATCATAGTAAATACTTAATACAGGATGATTGAGTGAATGAATTAATGAATGAATGACTGAATGAATGCTATCTTTATGAGATATCACTACCTAGTGCTGGAAAATACCTCAATGGTCGTTTAATAAATGAATGAATTCTGCCTGGGCTAAGGAAGGGTAAGATTTGCCAATGAAAGATTCAATCTAGTTTTTGCAATTCCTGTGATCCAAGAGGATAAAAACTAAGTACCTGAAATTAAAGCTCTTTCCAATTGTCTTCATGGAGTGGCAACCCTAAGGCTTGGTTTTAGGATTATAATATCAGATTTAAATCTGAAAGGGACATTTATTTATTTTAGCTTTTATTTAGCATTTTATTTTCCCCAGTTATGTGTAAATACAATTTTTTAACATCCATTTAAAAAACTTTGAGTTCTAAATTCTTCCCTTTCCTCCCTCCCTACCCCTCTCATTCAGAAAGCAAGCAATTTGATATATTATACATATGCCATCATGCAAAACATCCATAATACTCATGTTGTGAAAGAAAACATGGACAAAAAAATTCAAGAAAAATAAAAGAAAAAAAGTAATCTTCAGTCTGTATTCAGACATCATCAATTCTTTCTCTGGGGATGAATAGCATTTTTTCATGAAATGTACCTTTAGAAGTCATTAAGTCCAACCTCTTCTTTTTACAGATGATGAAACCAAGTCATAGAAATTAAAGTAACTTACCTAGGCATAGTTACTTTTGGAGATTTGAACTCACATCTTCCTGATTCAAGAACACTATCTGCTGTACTGTGTTGCATCTTATAGTCATCTGCATTGTTTCTGCTTTTTTTTTTTTAGCAGTTCAGTAATAATTATCCTTAGCTGTAGGTACCAACTTTCTTGTATATCAGGAGCCTGTCACTCACAAAACTGCTACTGTTCCTTCAGAAGGATTTTTATTCATTCAACCAATTGTTCACCAATAGGTTAGAATTGGTATCTGAGAAAGATACCATTCATTTATGTCTCTGATCATTGTTAGACCTGTCTCCCTAGTATCATCCTTAAGGTTATGGCCTACTCTGGAGTTAGCCTGAGAATCTAAGCATGAGGACTCTTGGATGATTGAATCTGATAAATTAAGCATTACAAAATATCTACTATATGGAGTTCTATATTAGACACTATGAGGGTAATTCAAAAGGAATAAAACAGGGAACCATCCTGAAAGAACATTGTGGGAAGGTACAACATGCATAAATGAAATATCTTGGGATCAATTGCAAAGCAATCATTTGATGCAAAAAAATATAGCTATAGTGAAACTGACTTTGGAATGTGGAAGAGAGAGAGTAATCAAAGAGTGGAGAAATTCTGTGTTTTTTAAGCCAGAAGAGGTCAGATAAAATTTGAGCCAGGTTTTGAAAGAGGTAATGTAACTCAGATGGAAGGAAAGAAGGAGGAAGCATTCTAAGAAGAACAAAACTATATTTGCAAAGGCTAAGTGTGTGTGGAGGAAAGCAGCAAATAGGTTATTTTATCAGAAGGTCATGCCATGACATTAACAAGTCAAGTGAGGTTGGAGGTGGACACTGGGCTGAGAGGATTTTGGATTGAATCCAGTAGACAGTGGGAAACTAATATCAGAACATTAAGCTATATGGTTAGCAAGTTTGCAGATATGCTTTGGAAAGAAAACCTTAGATGGATCTAGTATTTTTAAGTTTCATATCTATATATACACACATATGTATACATGTATGTATACACACATATTTTTCGATTAGCAAATCCACTTTTTCTCCTCCCTATAACCCCCCTCCCAATTGAGAATGAAAAAAAAAACAAAAAAACTATTAAAACATTAATGGTTAATCAAAACACATTCCACATTGGTCATGTCCAAAAAAAAATCTTATTCTGTACTGAGTCTTCACCTTTTATGAGGTGGGTAGCATGTTTGATCATTAGTCCTCTGGAATCATGATTGGTCATTACACTGATCAGAGTTACTAATTCTTTTAAAGTTATTTATCTTTATCATGTTTTTTAAAAAAATTATTTTCCTGGTTCTGTTTACTTCACTTTAAATCAGTTCATACAGGTCTTCCCAGTTTTCTCTAAAACCATCCTCTTAATCATTTCTTACACCACAATCTATATACTATAGCATTCTATATACTTATAGCATCTATATACTAAAGTTGTTTAACCTTTCCCTAGTTGATGGGTACCTTCTCAGATTCCCATTCTTTGACACCTCAAAAAAGAGCAAAAATTATTTTTATATATCCTTAGTAAGAATATAATTAATACCTCCCTTAATGTTTTTCCTCTAATTCCTCTTTGTCCCCCTTTTTTCTATTTCCCTATTGAGTGAAATATATTTCTGTATACAACTGTGTGTGTGTGTGTGTGTGTGTGTGTGTGTGTGTGTGTGTATTCTTTCCTTCTTTAACCAGTTCAGATAAGTTTGAGATTCAAGTGTCCACATTTCCCTTCCTCCTTCTTGTTTGTATTGATGTCCACTTGCACACCCTGATTATATGAGGTAATTTTTTTTCTAAGCTTCCTTTCCCTTCCCCCACCTTCAGAGTATTTCTCTTCTCCTTTCCATTTTTTGCTTAAGATTCCTTCTATAATCCTTGATGCTGATAGGGTTGAGAGGGGATATGTATTATCTCCCTGTTTTTGAATGTAGGCAGCTTATCTTTGTGTAGTCCTTTATCATGGTTTATGGGGTTTTTTTAAAATAAATCTCTTAAGTCCTGTGTTTGAACTTTAAAGTTTCTATATGTGTTTTCATCAGGAATGCTTAGAAATCCTCTGTTTTATTAAAGGTTCTCCCTTGTATGTTTATACTTGAGGAAGCTGGGTGGCACAGTGGATGGAGTACTGGGCTTGGAATCAGGAAACTCATTTTCATGAATTCAAATCTGGCCACAGGTATTTACTAGTCAGTTCCTCATTTGTAAAATGAGCTGGAGAAGGAAATGGCAAACCACTTCAGTATCTTTGCCAAGAAAAACCCCAAAATGGAGTAATGAAAAGTTGGACAAGATTGAAAGCAACAGTGTGTTTATATTTGATTTTCCTGAGTAAGCTATAGGCTATAAGCCTTCTAGAATATTGTATCCCAAGATCTCTGTTCCTTTGTATTGGTGACTGTTACATGAGGTGTGATCCTGACTTGGCTTTCTTTCTGGCTGCTTGCAGCATTTTTTCCATTGACCTGGAAGCTCTGTATTTTGTTTATAATGTTCCTAGGAGTTTTTATTTTGGGGTTTCTTTCAGGTGGTGCCCATTAGATTTTTTTCTATTACCCTCTGGTTCTAAGAGATCTGGGTTTTCTTTTATTTGGTACAATGATTCTTAAATTTTTTCTTCTTGATCTGTTTTCGAGGCCAGTTGTTGTTGCTCTGAGAAACCTTGCATTTTCTTCTATGCTTTTAGTCTTTTGATTTTGTTTTAATATTTCTTATGGTCTCATTGAATACTTGACTTCTTTTTGTTCCATTCTGATTTTCAGAGAACTTGTTGCTTGGGTAATGTTTTGTACCTCTTGTACCGAGCTGTTTATTCCCTTTCCAAATCTTTCTTTCATAGCTCTTACTTCTTTCCCCTTTTTCTGCCCCTAGTGCTCTCATTTTGTTGATTTTTAAAAAATAATTTAAATGGTTTTTTTAACTTCCTTTTTCTCTTCTAGAAATTCCAGTTGAATTTGTGCCCATGCTCTATTTTTCTTTTCAGGCTTTGCTTATAGATGTTTTTAGAGTTCTATTCTTTTGGATTCCTGTCTTGAATATTCCTATCACCATA